CTGGAAAATAAAGGACAACACAAACAAGTCTTGTCAAGTAAATTTCACGAATCGAAGAAGTAGATGTCCAAAACGACAACTAAATAATTAAAATAAAATCCACAAGGAAAAATTCCTGTAGCTGGCTGTATACCACGTATAACAAAAAGAGGTTAATCTTTGTAAATAAATATACCCATTTACAAAGATTAACCTCTTTTTTTTTAACTAAATAATTCACCTATACCAATTAAAACAGAAGTAAAGTACCCGGGCCTCCATCTAGACGAAAAACTTACTTGGAAATCACTTATTGCAGCCAAACGACACCTCGACCTTAAAGTTAGAAATATGAGCTGACTAATCAACAGAAGATCGCAACTTATATTAGAAAACAAACTGACCATCTATAAACCAATACTCAAACCAATGTGGACATACAAAATAGCAAACCATCCAACATCACAATACTACAGATATTTCAGTCAAAAACTATTTGTATCTTATTTAAAGCCCCATGGTATGTGTCAAACCAAACCCTTCATGTAGACCTCAACATCCCCTTCATCAATGATGTGATTGCTGACCACTCCAAAAAATATATGAATCGAAGCGCAGACCATCCAAACCATCTCATAGCTTAAAAACCTTTTGAACACAGAGCGTTTCCATTGCTGAACTTTATTGGAAACTTTTCAAATTGCCCATTGTGACTTAAAAGAGTCTGTCGGTGAGCCTGCTGTCAATGATTTTGTTATTTTTTGACACGGAATAGCACTAAGTAGTTTGCAGATCAATGAAAACAATGAATATTTTTAGCTTGCTTTGAAAGTGCTTTAATTTGTATATTTTAAGGACAGGATTAGCTCTGTGCCACTGTGGTTAGATCTGAGGCCTGCTTGTTCAATGGGTATCATTTTAAATAAGTTTCTACTAATTCTGTTGTAGATTTCCAACATCTTTCAGACATCTCAGCAGTAAAATCAGTCGGCAGTTTCCTTAGCTCAGCTATCTTAGCTTAGTTCAGTTTTCTTAACTTAGTCAGTAGTTCCCACAGCTCAGAAGTACAATCATTTGGTAGAATCCTTAATAACCAACGTACTTGGTTATGGTTGGTTTTATCTGGTTTTTTTATTTTTAGTTAAATATTAAAACATTTACTTTTACACATTTAATTAAAATGGATTATTTTTTTTATTTTGATAGTTTTAAATAAAATGGTAATCTATTGGAATACATTTATTAGTGTTATTACAAATTTTTGAATAACATAAAAAGTAGTACAGTCAAAATTATTAACAAACGTACAAAATTTGAAAAACGCCTTAATGTATTAGGAAAATGATATCATAAAATACGCATCCACAGGTAAATGCAAGAATTTGAATTTACATCATACATATATTTTGGATAGTAACTCTAATAATTAGGAGTATTTTGTTAACGCAGATTTTCGGGTATTTTACACAAATTAAATAAAAACTTGACAAACTCACCCGCAGATGTATCTCTATTTCCTAGCACAGACGAAGGCCTTGGTCTCGGCCTGTCTTCTTCCACTTCAATTTCTTTCTGCCTTTTATACAAATCGAAAACGGTGACTTCACACAAAAACCTAGCCTTGCCACCATAAAAGCTCCTCTCGTCTACTTCTACCTCAATTCCAGAGAAGGTTACTTGAGGAACCCTCTTAGAAGTTGACGGTGTTAACTTTGTCTGGCCTGCTGCTGGTAGAGTGCGTTTGATACTTTCGTTTAGCTGAAACAATTATTTTTAGAGTAACATAAGTTGACGAAAAAATTATATAATTGTAAACAATAACACTGTTATGAAACAATACATCTTTTTACGTAAGTAAAAAATGGGATTTATAATATAAGTATCTAAAAACTTAAGAATCAAAGATCCAATAAAATTGGAATGTGAGATGTTGGCTTTTATTAGCTGTATTTCACATTTTTATTAGTTTCTTGGTTTTATGTATACATTATGAAAGTAATAGTAATAAAGGCATGTTCTTTACAAATTGATTGTTGCATGCATTGCAGATGAACATAGTGACGTGGTTTTTTTTTTGGAATGAGGAAACAAACCTTTGCCGAATTGTAGCAGAAGTCTGTTTAATATTTAGGCTGCAGTCTTTTTATATTATATATATATATATATATATATATATATATATATATATATATAATATATATATATATATATATATATATATATATTGTGCAGGTTGTTTACAACTGTCGTTGTTTTCCTGTCCCTAGTTTCCATCGTTTCCTATCTCGGGTGTCGGCTTCATTTAGCTGTCTTCCTTCCATGGCTTCATTCACGTCATTTCGCCAGCTTCTTCTTGGACGCCCTCTTTTCCTTCTTTCAGTTGGGATCCATTTTAATATTTTCTTTGGCCACTCTCGTCTGCCATTCTGTTTACATGACCGAACCAAGTTAGTTGTTTTTTCTGGACTTTATCTATAATGTCTTTTTCTTGCTCCATTCTACGTTTTATTTCTTCATTGCGGATTCTGTCCATCCTTGTTAATCTACAGCTTCTTCTCATAAAATCCATCTCGGTAGCTTGTAATTTTTTTCTGTTTCTTTTACTAGTGTCCCATATCTCTGCTCCGTATGTTACCACCGGCTCAACTATCGTCTTATATATTCGTTTTTTTCGTCGTTCTTGTGATTTTTTTATCCCAGAGAATGGAGTTTAGGCATTTGGTAATGTTTCTGCCTTTGTTTATTCTTGTATTTATTTCTTCATGGGTATTTCCGTCTTTTGTAAACACTACTCCTAGGTATTTTACTCTATTTGTTCCTTTGATTTTGTCACTCTCCAATGTCAGGTCTTCGACTGTATTTTTCCCCATTGAGAGATATTCGCATTTTTATAAGTTCATTGTCAGTCCACATTCTTCGTACGCTGTTTGTAGTTTCCTAACCATATAGCTGAGATCGTCTATATCTTCTGCTACCACCAGTTGGTCATCAGCGAAGAATAATGTTTAGAGAATATCCTCATCTATTTGTATTCCCATATTTCTGCATTGTCTTTGTCACTTTTGTAGAGATCGATCCAGATATATTTTAAACAGCGTAGGTGATAAACAACATCTCTGTCGTAGCCCTTTCGTAGTGTTGAATTTCTCACTAAGTTTGCCACTATTTTAATTGATGCGGTGTTGTTTACATACCACTTTTGAGTTGCTATTATTAACGAAGGTTTTATTTTCATGTTTTGCATTTCACTCCATAAATAATTTATCGGCACGTTATCATATGCCTTTTCAAGATCTATCAGGGCTATATGTGTTTCTTTGTTTCTTTGTTGTCGCTTTTCGAATAATATTTTAAGTGTAAATAGATTATCTATAGTCGATCTTCCAGCTCTGAATCCGCATTGTTCTTCTGGTTGTTTCATACGAATGTCTTCTTCTATGAGGTTTCTAAGTATTCGGGAGTACAGTCGTCCTATAGTGGGGATGATAGCAATTCCTCTATAGTTTCTGACATTGTTTCGTGCTCCTTTTTTGTATATTGGGGTTATATAGGCCTTACGCCATTCTAACGGGGTCTCTTCTCCATTCAGGCATCGTTGGAACAGACCTTTGAGCATTTTATATTATAAAAAGGGAAATTTTATATCAGATATCAAATTATTAACTTCTCCAGCTCTTTCCTCCAGATGAGGTTTTATAGTAGAAAGAAAGCCACTTGAGGGCACGTTGACTTTTAGCCGCGGCTTGAACCGTAAGCGCATTTGATTAGTATATCCCGCTTCACGTATATAATTATTTTCACCGTCATATTGTGGTATGTCGTATTAAAATAATATAATAATAATTTAGAATAACACATATTACAGGTCTCTAACAACTGTTTTTTAATAAATTTTAATTTTAATTTAATTTTTGATAAAATTATTAATAACTTGTCTAAAAATTTTAGATATTTTTATAATTATTTAATAGTTATTCCAAAATTGAAATTGTTTATCCCAAAAAGCTTTTATCTACAACATTGTTGTGCATAAACTATTATGACTACATGAATTCTGAAAGTACTTTGTTCTTGAAAGAAAAACAACTTGGAACAGGTTGCGAGCGGAGGCAAGGCTTACTGGTCCCGCTACTCTGAACTGGCTGGTTCGCCCTCGTGGATTTACAAGAGGGTAGGAAAATCTGGAAAAAAGGTTAAGGACTTCTAGTTCTTAGGTCCTGTAAAGAGTTGAGTCTATGGGCTTACTTTAGAAGCTGGAGAAATGCATAAACGGAAATTGTGTACTCTTCTAGTCTCTGCCTGTAACGGCCGAGAAGGAACAATAAAATCCAACTTTCGAGTCTACAAATGTATTAAAAAGAGTGTATACTACAATTAAGTTACCAAGATGTCAGTTATAACCAATAAAGATTCGTTCAGGTGCGAAGGGAGACGAGAAGAGACCTTAGCAAGAAATTAAAGGGTGGACAATCTGCATTTCTATATATTACTTGGATTAGTATATATATTTAGTTACCTTCACGTATTTAGGCCCTAGGTTCCAGGTTCAGTTGTGGAGGTACCGCGCTTTATCACGAATTTTTGAAACTCCAGGTACCCGACACTTATACGGTACTATTATCCCGTCGACATACAATACTGTAATTTGTCCGCAGCTTTAGAATATAATTTGTTTGTATGTTCAACTATTTCACTGATAACAGAGTCTGAAAAATTGCCAAACATTAATAACGGATTTTGCTTCTCTGGCTTTTCCAACCAAATAAAAACTGAAATAATATAACGCCAATCGGTCAGGGAAAAACCGCTTGGAGCATTCCAGACAGGTCAGTACCACCCCCACTATACAAGCAGCGTCATTTTAAAATTGATCACGTCCCGGTCCTTTTGGCTGACACGTGTCTATAGAAAATGTCACACTGAGAGTGCAGTACGGGTAAGATACGGCAATACATTTCTTATGGAGAATAAATGCGCAGGGTTGTCGGTTTTCTCAAGCTGTTGATTGCTCATTGTCTCACAGGACCGCTTGGATAAATGTATCTGCCGTCAGTACGAGTAAAATATTTTATACCATGTATACGTATACAGTAGAATAAAAAGGCATTGATGAGTTATAGAATAAAAGTTTACAAGATGTTACGTGTGGTCTGTGCTTTTGTATGGATGTGAAACTTGGACTTTAAACGCCGATATCATGAATAAAATCGAGGCGTTTAAGATGTGTTTGTATCGAAGGATACTAAAAATTCCATGGACTAGCAGAACCAGAAACGAAGAAGTTCTGCGAAGACTGGGACATCAACGAACTCTATTAAATATTATTAAGAGGCGTAAACTAGAATATCTTGGACATATAATCAGAGGACCAAGATATGAGTTCCTTCGGCTAATTCTCTACGGTAAAATCGAAGGAAAGAAATGGATAGGACGGAAGAAACTCTCTTGGTTGAGGAATTTGCGGCAGTGGACAGGTTTGACAGCGGACCAATTGCTACACGTAGCCCAAGACCGAGATGAGTATAATAATATTATAAGCATGGTAGTCGCCGACGTTCCGTAGGGATATGGCACTCTAAGAAGAAGATGAGTTATTGACAACGAAAACTATGAATTTTGCATATAAAACGTCAGCATGAGATATACAATTGAATCATATTCATAAGAGTAACATTTGAACACCTCTTTACAAAAACAACATACAATAACTGTAGTTTTAATGTTTTACATAAAATAGAAAAAACCTACATAATTCTAGGAAAGAATTTGGAAACTTGGAAATGATATTATTTATAGATATTATATATAATATTCAAATTACCAATTCTTTCATAGAAATTAGATATTTTCTATTGTATGTAAAATATTAAAAATACAGTTATGTTGTTTCTATAAATAGGTCTTCATTTCTTTTGTAAAACTTCTGCTACAAATTACCATCATTAACATAATCACCTAAATATGGCCATAAACTTGTTTGTCATAATTAGTTTTTGATAAACTCCACGCTTTTCCTATTTCACCCCCTATCCATCCTAAAAATGGGTAGGGGTGAAAGTGCTTTTGGAAAACGAAACTACACTTCAAAATTTAGTCCGAGTTTCAATAGAGAGCATGGAGTCCTATAAGTTTAAATCCGGTGAATTATTTAACGGTTGCGCCAAACTCGTAGTGTTAAATGTGTTGTATTTTTTACAAAATACGGAACAACTTAATGTAAGTGCTACTGTAAGACGTACTTCGTTGATGACTGGTATTAACGAAAGAACCATTTACAATTTCAAAAAAGAAAAAGAACAGAGTGGAACGTTGAAATCGCCAAAAAAAACGTAAAAAACGGGTGTGTCAATCAAATTCTAGAATATTCACATATGACGAGGGTGTAAGAAGTATTCTACAGAGAATTGTTCATTGTGAATTTTTCATGAAAAATTCGCCGCCATTCTTAAAGCATATACATAACTTCATACAAGGTAATGAGAATATACAGACGTTGTCTCTTTCTACTTTATACAGACTTCTAAAAGATATTGGATTTGTTTATAAGAAACGTGGCCGAAGAAGCATCATGGTGGAGCGAGAGGATATTATTCATTGGCGCCATAATTATTTGAGAACTATACGAGGTTTACTACGATACAAAACAGTCGTGATGCTTTTCTCAAAGGTTTAAGTACTGGCTTAAAATTACCTACTAAACAAGGTCCACGATATGTTTTATTGCATGCAGGTTTTTCAGGAGGTTTCCTTCCTGGCAC